TACATTTACAAGATTGAAAATGGAAAGAAAAAGTTTTAAAGAATACTCAGTTCTCGCTATGATGTCAAAAGAAGAGCAGCAACCGATGAGAGGTTGTTTGGACGATTCGATGCGAACCGACAGTGGAACCGAAGTAGACGCACATTATTAACTTCGGGATAACTATTATCCTCAAATCTACCATGTTCATTTCACGTGAATACTCGACAGATATGGCAAATATCGGACTTTGGCTGTCTTCACGTGAACATCCGAAGACATGTGCAACAGTAATATTACTGGATTCGCAAGCGCAAGAAGTGGATTTAGCTCTACTCGCAGCAGCCTTGTGGCAGCCTTACTCGGTAAGTTTTTCCATTGCTTTATATTTGTACCTACAATTTTGCCACAGAATAAGATATTAGACATTCTTTTGCATTTTGGAGGACCTATTTAAGCAGTGCTGGCATGTTTGGCTCTATAAATTGGATTCAGAGCAGCCTTCCAATCGATCGACTCGTACGCCGCAGCACGTGGAGACTTCAGGAATGTTCTGCAGTGATTAGTGAACCATTTCTTGGCTTGATAAGAGGGAATCACATTTTCCGACAGCAACAACTTACTGGCCCAGTTTGGCCTACCATTGAATCAAGCAGGGGCACCGTTTTGCTGAACTTACATGTAGACCCAGTTTGGTCACATAAAATCGTTCAAATTATGCTTCAGCCTAAACTCAAACTAGCACGGAAAAATAATCCCAGTAACCCTATCAAATAATTTTTTTCAAAAACTATATTACAGAAAAATTCCCCACCAAATGAGTATATCATTTTAAAATGAATATACTTGAGACCCCTGGGAAGTACATGATCTTTCATTCTCCCTTCCTCTCTAGTAGTTGTAATCCAATATATGATACTGTACTCATCAATATTATTTACTCTTCAGATACCGATCCTGGCTATATTCACAAACTATCACCAATAAAGAAGGCAAAATCAGGAAATGAATATTCTACCTTTGACCTTCAAACATCCAGTTCTAAATTTACAAAAGTAGTTGGCTTCGATCGTAAAAATCATCAACAGGCACTTCTGTTCCAGAACGCTGGTACACCAATTCGAGTAATAAATGCAAACGAAAAGGATAACAACATATTTGTTAACAACCACTCAACTATTGTCAAGGCTAATTCTGGTGATATTCACTTTGAAAGCACACAACCATCAACTAATGTGCCAAGGAACTCCAGCCTGCCACATGGTAATGCTATTCAAATCTCACTCAGTCAGGTTAACTCGTTAACCAGAAATCAGAGAGTGAATGTTAGAGGAACAATCACAATGGGAGATGCTAAACCAAAAGAAGTAACAAAGAGAAATGGAAACCCAGGCCTTGTTAAAGAGGACTGTGTCATTGAGGACCAAACTGGTCATACAACAATCCACTTGTGGGATGACATGATTGAAAAGTGCAAAAACTCAAACAGTTATGAGATCACAGATCAAAGTGACACAACAATCAAAGAAATCAGCATGCATCTCGACAACCCTAAAGGACCACAGCTGGTTACCAATATCCAGAAAACAGTAACAATACAGGAATTCATCTTTACAGATAAAGTGACTGTTTTCATGACCTGCCAAATCAACAGTTGTAAAAAGAAGATGCCATATGTAATTGAATCTCCTGTCTTCACATGCCCAAGTTGTGGCACATGCCAGAAAGTCAAAGGGGCAAAAAAGGGTGCAACTGCTCGGTTATGTGCTGAGATCGAAGGCAAACAAGTGTGGCTTACAGCCTTCACTGATGTGATGGAGAATTTACTAGCCAAAGTAAACTTATCGATTCATGACACTTCGGATAAAATCAAAGAAGCCCTACTGACAGTGGAAAATATAACATTAGTTATTGATTCTGTGTCAAACTTCATCCTAGAAGTTAAAGAAAATGATGCATGAATTATTTGTTTCAGACAATATTGTGTTAACTTATGTTCTCTTTAATAAGTATCCTTTAGACATTCAAAGCAAAAGGAAATTGTTATGGTTGACAACCAAAAAAAACATTCTTAAATGACAATGCAAATATAACATTAGTTATTGATTCTGTGTAAAGCTTGGAAGTTAAAGAAAATGATGCATGAATTATTTACATTAGCAGAAAATATTGTGTTGACTTATGTTCTGTTGCATAAGTATCCTTAAGACACTCAAAGCAAAAGAAAATTATTATGGTTGATAAGAAAATAACCACACTATAATGGCAATGGAAAATATAACATCACTTATTGATTCTGTAAAACGTCATCTTCGGAGTTAAAGGAAATGATGCATGAATTATTTGCATTAGAAAACATTAGTGTTCACTTATGTTATGTTGCATTAGTATCCTTTAGACATTCAAAGCAAACGGATATAGTTATGGTTCATTTAAGAAAAAAAGAACATCCTAAAATGACAGTGGAAAAACTGTCTAAAAGTTTATCTTAAAAGTTAAGAAGTTGATGCATGAATTATTTGCATTAGAAGACACTATTGTGTTGATTTATGTTCTCTTGCATTGCTACAAATCAGAAATTAAAGATAAAAAGAAATTGTTACGATTGGTAAGAAACAAAAATATTCTACATTGTAAACGGAAAATATAACATTAATTTGAGATCTCTAGTAAAACTTCATTTTGGAAGTTAAAATTCTTTTGATTTCTTTGCTAAAAACATGTTACTTTTAAAGTAAAGTAATAGAGTTGAAATTCTCCATGAAAAATTCCTGAGTTTTTGTTCAAATAAAAATGTTTTGTTATGTTTGATCTATTGATGACTCCTCTAAGTTACCCTACAGACACTAATTTCATTACTGAAAGCTTTCCCAGTATCTTTAAGCTCACCAGGCCTTTAATCCCAGTTCCTCAATTGATTTTCAGTCAAAACTGCGCAGTCTCGGTTCTAAATGTTTACATAGACACGCAAACGAACATTTGCTCGCTAAAATAACAATTTAGGGAAAAACCTAGTTTTTCCAAAGATACCTATACGGAAATGAAATAATACACAGATTCGTTCTTTTTAAGATAACTATAACTACCCAAAGTAATAAACCCATTTCAGTACCCAACAAAAGTTTTCTTGGAAATCCCTCCACTCAAAAGTGTTCTAGCACGCACTTCCTAACCATTGGTTACTTCTAGTTTAATAATTATTTCATTTTTTTTTCAATCAGGAGGTCAGGGTTGTTGGCGTCTGATGTGAATGGCCTTCTCAAGTTTCCTTTCGAAGTTCACAGTCTCCTTGTCCAGGATTTTCGTTTGCTTTACATTTAAGACCTCAAGATGAAAATTATTCCTAACCTTAACAATCCTGTCACCACCACAAGTCAGTAATCTTCCTTTTGTTAGATCCAAGTACATCGAACGAGTTGTATGTTTTGCATCATGAAAATCTGCTAGAGGTACACGGCTGAAAAGCAGATGAAAATGCAACAATTTGATGTTTGTGCCTCATGTTAAAATAACAAAATGAAAAACAAACAGTACAGTACAAACAAAACTGGAGAGGGCGAGGTATGGATATTTTCTAGAATTACACATTTAACAATCCAATCTTTGATTTTCTCTAAGAAATGCACCCTACAACTACTTTTTTACTCACAGACAAACACCTTTCTAGTAAAGTAATCTTTGATTTGAGGTCGCTCTTTAGCTAAAATTTAAAACCCAGTGAGCTGATAACACAGTACACAAAGAAAATGAGCACCCAAAAGCAACAACCTGCTAACAATTATCAGGACTCAATAATCTGACTTACTCATCATCTGTGATGGTTTCATAACATTCATTACACAGGCGAACAGAATTTTCAAAACCCATGATTGGATAGGAAGATTCATTTTTACTACACTCGTTACACACTGCTCTGCCACATTTTCGACAATGATGCTGAAAATAAAATAAAAGAGGTCATAAATGACAGAACTTTTAAAATCTTTCCTGCTCTGTTTTAAACTTTCACTTGTAAGTTACACAAGTTAAAGTTTCAACCAGACATTAAACACCAGCTTTTAGTACATATATGTGACGGAGATGCGGTAGCTTTGTCTTGAGTAGACTGGGGTTAATGCCGGGGAGGTGGTACTTCCAATAATGGCCTATAGAAGGAGGTTCCGCCCAAAAGAGGTACCTTTTTCAAGCATATAAAAGGGAACGTAAGGGATTTCGCATTGTCAAGTTGGGGAGGTATATGAAAAAGTAGGGAAATCCATCATTTAGTTATTTTTAAGAGCCTTTAATTACAATATTTTAAAAAGATGCACCTTATAACTGCCAGATCATTTCATTTATTAGGCACTACATAAAAATGACAAGAAGACTTCCTTATTTTGGCGATTTATTCATAATGTGGGCCAGTAATGAAAGTATGGGAAAGGGGTACATTTTTTCAATTAACGATATACAAAAGGGGTCTCTTTTCTGTCAAAATGGTATACATTTGGGTAAGCGGTAGGACCTCAGGACTGAGCCTCCCTATGTAGAACTGGGTACCACCCCCACCCCACCCTCCTGTAGAGGGTTAACAACCACTGGCTGGGGTCATTGTGTTGTATTCTTTAAGTTTTACGGACAATCAGAAGAAATTGGGTAAGAATAATAATTATAAAAATATCCTACCTGCCTCACACCAACTGCTTTATTGTTCCACATGCCCTTAAAGTTCCAGAAGAAAGGGCCACTACATCGCTCACAGATATCACTTTGTGACCACTCTGGTGTCTGACAAACACAAGACAACAAAGAACAAAATTACTCTCAAGACCACAATCAGCATAACTAACCTTATTGCATTGTTAACTTAGCTCTGAATGTTTGTTTTCCCCAAAATTAAAAAGACCAACACATGTAAATTCCAGTTTGATCTGGATATTATTTATAAATTGTGGATGTGCAAAGGTAAATCCCCTAGCCAAACAACTGGCATATCTGCTAACCCTAAGACTGAGTGTAACCTTGGCCTAAGACTGACAAACCACCCAAACTTCTGTAGATTAAACAACAGACTGACTGTCCATCTGACTGATTGCTTGCTTGATTACTTGATGGACTGACTGGCAGACTGACTGATTGATTGATTGACTGACTGACTGACTGACTCACTGGCTGACTGACTCACTGACTGACTTACTAACTGACTGACTAACTGCCCGACTTACAGACAGACAGACAGGCTGACTGACTGACTCACTGACTGACTCACTGACTGACTGGCTCACTGACTTACTCACAGACAGACAGACAGACAGACAGACTGGCTGCCTGCCAGTTGATTATGTACCTCTTGTCGTTTTACATTCATATCCCAGATCCTGACAATGCCATCTTCACTGCATGATACCAACTTCTTGGCATGAGGTGCGTAACAAAGGCCATGAACTTTTGACCTAAAAAGACAAAACAGAAGTATGCAATGACGGTAACCTTCTCTACACTTAAATACAAAAAACTGAAGCAAAACTGGAGAGCTAAGACAAAATTGTTGTTCGTTTATCTTGCATTTGTTCAATCATATCCAGTTCTGTACAGATTTGTAACCAACAAAGCTGAGCACAACATCTGACATTGTGTGCCTCTGTTATACACATACAGCTGTAATTTACAGACACCCAGTATGACAAAGACATCTGGGAGCTGCCCATAAAGTGACAGTGTAATTCACATTGAAATCAACTCTCATCATCACCATCTGTTATCGTTGCAAGAGAAAACCATGTCAGTCGCTTAAGCTGTCCATTACAAAGTTAAATCACTCTACATGCATTCCATGCCACAGACGGTTACACCATTTTCCTCAACTTTTCCTCAACTTTATCAAGATCATTAATCATATTAACAGTAGCTACCAGTAATTAGAAACACATAAAAAGGTTTTCTTACAAATGACCATGAAGTTCAAATGCAGTTCCTTGTTGTCCTCCAATGTCCCAGACAATAATAGATTCATCAAAACTACCAGAAAATAACAACCGTTTCTCTGGATCCCAGGCTAAAGCTCTTACACTCCCTGTTAACAAACAAAAATAAATAAAAATTAGACAAAATAATAACACAGAGTGAGAACACAAACAATACACACAGACACAACCTAAGAAAAATTAAGAAGGGTAAGAAAAATTCTGGACTCAAGTACATGTATAGTGGCTCATCAGATCAGTGCTTATCTTGGGTTTAAGTAGCAATAAGCGGCTAGGAATATTTTTATTCCCCTCTACATGGGATGTTTTTCCAACAGAGGGTTATAGCTTGACGGCTATTGCCTAGAAGTCCTTTCAAATTGCAGCATGGATCTAACTTCAAAGCCTAAATGAAACTCCAGTTTCATCATTGAAGTCAAAGTTATTGACCAGCACTTTCAGGCAATCCATTTATTTACTGTTTGTTAACCATAAATTTACGAACATGGAGGAAACTCTGAATGATCATTCAAATAAAAGATATTGTTAAACAGTACCACGATACTCTTAGAGGTTAAGTGTTAAGAGTTAAAGGTGTCTGTAATTTACTGCAGATGTTCCTAGTAATTTCTGCGCACAAGTGAACTAAAGAGTTTACAAGTTCACAATAGCACAGGACACCAGCCAAATCACCTGTGCCAAACCATGATTGCCATGGGGGCAACTTGCCTGAGTGACCATTGAGTGTTGTTACCAGAGAGGGTGAGTTAGACTCCAGTTTTATCACGCTAATGCTGCCACCATAGTCACCAACAAAGACATGCTTAGATTCAGCATCAAATCTAAAACTTGCTAAGGAAAGTTCTTCAAAGGGCTGACTACCAGTATTTTATTAGTGCAAGGCAAAAATATTAAATCTGTTCTGAAGCACATGATGCCTCAGCACTAAAGAATCACTCACATTTGACTTAGGAAAACTTAGCAGGTATACAACACTCCAAGTTAGAGCAAAGGATGTTGTCTCAAGAACATAACTTCATAACGTGGGATGGACCTCACAAAATATTTACAATCTTCAATACACTGTGCATGCCATAAGCTTTCTGTTCTTTGTGCAATCCTTTGGGGAGTAAATTAAGATTATGTGATAGGGAGGATTTTATAACAAGCTTAAAGGATACTGTAAGGATGTACACCATGCTCCAGTCAGATATCCTCCTAATCGTTTGCCAGTTGTACAATCATGCCACTGTAAATATTTGTCTCTTCCTACACTGAGTAGCCATTCATTCTCCAGTGAAAATATTACACCACTAACTCTGTTCTTATGTGCTGAGAGAGAACACACAAGACAATTACTTTGCAAAATTAATAAATATTTCCTTGAAGCTATTACTGTCATTACTGGGAATTTCATAAATATCAATAAAATTAATACCCCTAATGGGCTTTTCAGGGCCAATCAAAACAAACACTGAAACAAATCATGTGAAAGAACAAAACTTGGTTAAAAATCCAAACTGGCAGGAGGCAGACCAGTTGGCTGTTGACAAGTGAGGCCAAGGAGTTGAACTTTGGACCACCGAGAACAACATCTGTCCAGCTAACCACTCATACATGTATCCATTTTCCAGGTTTCTCAGTTTTTAAAAAAAAAAATTTCACACATTCAATGACAGAAAAAAGGATGCCTCTGACTCAGAAAAGGCTGGAGGATATACAGCTGTTTGTTTAGCAAGGAGACTTCAGTCTAAAGAGATAAACTTGTACATATCGTTACCTAAATAATTTCTTCTATGGTTAAGTCTGTTATAATCTTCTGACACTTCAAATTCCTGAGGGAAAAAGATCATCACAAGAAATATAAATTAAATGTGTTTGTTCCTATTAACACACTGCAAGCTTGTGAAACTGTTAAACACTTCTATTTCCAACCAGGCCAGTTTAGGGATAGCAAAATTAAGGGCATAGTAAATGTGTGGGAGTGTTCAAAACACAAAATGCTACCAGATGTTTAGTCTAAATAATGACAAGCTTAGCCCAAATATGATTGCCTTGATAGTGGTTAGCTTTCAATAATATTCTGATGGCTAACCCTTACAGACACCTGTATCCCTTATTTACTCTTAATCATAGTGCCATTTTGTAATTTCACCATTTCAAGTTTTAAGCATGCCCTAAATGTGCTTGAGTATATTTATTTATCAAGTGGTACTGTCAAAGCCACTGTAATCTCAGGGATTTGGAAAAAGTAGCCTTGACTGGAACTCCTCATATAAGAAAATGGAATCTGGTATTTATATTCTTCTAAGCAAAATGAACAGGGTTTTGTGAGGATTGCTGCTTAGAGGAGCTAGTATGTTACAAATGTTCTCACAGGAAGGATCAGGAAGACGCTCCAATGTCAAGGCCCTGAAAAGAGACCCTGACAAGGTAAACTTCCGACAAGTGACAAATTCAAATTTTTACATCATAATATTTAGAGAGGATCCTATATCCTGATCCAATTGCAATTTGGAGATGTTAGTTCTTGTGGAGGGAGGAAAACCAGAGTACCCAGAGAAAAACCCTCAAAGCAAGGCGAGAACCAACAAACTCAACAGGCACCAGGCCAGAACTGAGCCGGTCACATTGGTGGGAGGTAAGTGCTCTCACCAATGCGCCATCCATGCTGCCCCATAGTGAGAAAACAGCGATGTACTGGCAGATGAAATGATAAAAAACATGACCTGTCTTAAAGCTCTGACAGCAATGTGATGACCCTCATTACTTTTGGAATTAGCAGCGTTTAAGACTCATTACATTCAGGGGGTCGTTACTTTCTGGGAGCAAAAATAAGGTTACATAAAGTTGGTACATGTAAACGATCATATTGTACTGTAAGTAAGTAAGTATTGTGCTGTAGTATTATTATTTCCTCTTTTTATTTGTTTAGTTTTTCCTATGTACCGTTATATTGTGTTTGCAAATCAATTAAAAAAAAGTTGGTACATGTACAACTAGGCTCTTCTTCCAGTTCAAATCTATATTGTTGCCACATGGGTGAGCTCTTCATGTCTGGACCGTGTTGTCAGTGGTCGGCAGGAAAGTTGGTTACATACCATAAACTGTTTGTACTTCATGATGTACTGCTATGTTAGGCTGATCTAACAAAATCTCAGTACACTGGTTGAGTTTTAAATTTAAATTTAAAGAAATGTTACATTCAATATGCTCCTGTTGAAAATGATGTTAATCTGAATCAAAGTTTCCTGTATTATGTCCCTGTTACTTGATGAAAATTTTATGGCTTTTGTTTTCACAAAGCACAACATTAACTGGTGAAGCATGGATTGACATTT